CTGTTTTATTGTTACATCTGTTGAACTGGCTGGTCTAATTTTGCGCTCTCTTCTATGCGATTCATTCATTACAAAACACTATTATAAAGCAGCTATATGTAAATGAACGGCGTCAAGTTTCCACCGTGTAACTTTGATCTGCGGACCGGCCTCTCCTGCTCCTCTCGGGCAGAATCAAGCCTTATTTAACCTAATCTCACTTAATAGCATCCAGTGAAGCTATTGTCCGGCGCCTGCTCCATTCACGGCTCTCCTTTCACCCAAACTAATCCTCCTTCTGTCCAGCCAGGCCAATTATGGGGCATATTTAATCTACGACACGATTATGAGCGAATTTAGAGCTTGTTGCCATGTTGAGGAAGGAAAAAAACTCCCGAGATGCTTTCTGTTCTTTTGATCTAGTTTGGCACACTGTAAAAAATGATGTTAAAATGTCACTCAGAATGAAAAGTTTGGATGAGTTATGTAGTTAGGCCTACACTTTCGGCTGGCTTTTTGTAATATTTACAATTTCAAGTATTATCTTAATATTCTAATAATTAGTTTTGAATCCAAATACGTTCATAAAATTGAAGTATTTGTTTCAGTATTTCATTTTTCGAGTGGAGATTCAAAGTATTTCTGACAGGTTTAAACATATTTTTACTAATATAAAAAATAAAAACCTGTCAGTGGAAAATGAAAATTGCATGCAATAAGTTCACTACACTGTAAAAAGGACTTTAATTAAATGTAATCTTTCCCATTCAGTTTTTTATGTTGACCCAAAGCAAATATTTGAGTTTCAAGTTAATATACTTATAAAATTGAAATTACTCGGAATGATAACATCTTGCATCTAAAAATTAAATGTAAAACAACACTTAACTTCTGATCATCTCAATCTAATGAGTTAAAACAACTTATTTCTGCAGTATGTCTCACTCATTACACTCACAATTATAAACATATTGGAAAAACATTTCTACATAATTCAGGTTTAGAAAGAAAAACACACTGAGTAAGAAAACTTACTTCTCACTGACTCAGTCTAAATGAGTTAAAACCGCATGACATTTTTTGCAGTGTGTCCCATTCATTGCACAGTGGCAACACTTTTAAGATAAGTAAGAACGCATATTTGCACATTTTCTGATCTGTAATTAATTTTTAAACAGACAACTCTGTACCCACTCAGAAAAACTAACTCTAAATGTCTAAATGAGAAACAACTTGCTGTAATTTCTGGACTACAAGCCACTACTTTTTCCTCACATTTTGAGCCCTGCGGTTTATACGGCAAATATATGGACGGATTATTTGTGCATCAACACAGTGGATGCTCCCGCAGCCTGAGTGCAGAAAACGCCACTGTCTGTGCGGTTAACATGAAGTTGCAGCACTAGTTAGCGATGTTGTCAGCACTAAAACATTTTGAAAAATAAGTTAGGATACTAAATTAGCATTAATGAGTGGGATACGTCTTAATGACCCGTATGTGTTAAATGCTGAGCGATACACCTAGCCCCGCCCCCCAGGAGAGCCTGAAAGCTGGTGAAATCCTGCAAGACTCTGACATGATACAGACAAGACAGCGGCTCTTTCTGCAAGAGACATACACAGTAGAGCACAAAGTGACGGGGTGCAAGAGCGAGACAGAAGATGTTAGTTTGATTGTGTTTTGAACAGTTATTTTGCATTTCATGCACACACCCTCCTTATCGAAAACACACGTAGAAATGCAAATGTTGCAGCTAATAAGTTAAAGGCGACTGATGTGGTTGTGGAAGAAGGAAGTGGAGCTGCTGCAGGTGAGCTCGGCATCAATGAGTCGATGGTGAGACGTTGGCAACAGCAGCGTGAGGAACTGCCTCAACACAAAAAGACGACAAAAGCTTTCAGAGGTGATAAAAGCAGACGACCCGAACCTGAAAACATTCTTGACGACGTGGACACCTGCTGCTTATAGACAGGTGCGGCCTATATATGTACAAATTTCTCTTTTAAAATTTAGTTGATGTGGCTTTTATTTAGGTGCACTCGATAGTCCGGAAATTACGGTACTTGAATTTTTGCAGTGTCGCTCATTAACATTGGATGCACATTTAAGATAAGATAACATTTTCTAATATGTAATTCATTTTTAAACAGAAAAACACATTGAATCCACTCAGAAAACTTACTTTAACTTTGGACGGCACGGTGGCAAAGTGGCAACAAGGGTTCCTGGGTTCTTTTCTGTGTGGAGTTTCGGGTCAACTTGTACATACACTAAGGTCAGGTAACTCGATATAAACTAGTCAAAATAACTTACTTAAAAAACTTACTTCTAACTAACTTCATTTAAATGAGTTACACGTCCTAACGGGTTTTGCAGTGTATGTCATTCACTGCACATTGGCGACACATTTTCTGGCTGTTTGAACATATTGTGATTGCGAGTGACCAGGCGCCCACATCTCCACAGACCCACGGAGAATAGAGAGGGGTGAATGATCAAAATACGGCCTCTTTCTTTGGGCGGTAATTGCAGCGCGGTTTTGATCTTTTGCTTGTTTCCACTTTGAATGGGACTAAAGGGGTGAAGACTGAGGAGGTGTGGGGGGGCCGAAGATGTCTTTTCAGGGTTTTGTGGTTGGAGAGCTCAAGAAGTGTCGGAAGGACATTTACACCTGTGGATTAGCAACAAGAGCTACCGGGAGATTGACCGGGCTGTGGTGAGAATATGCAGAGATATTAAAGGTGATCGTGTAAGTTGAGCTTTGAGTAGAGTTGAGTTTATCTGGCTCTCGCTTTGAATCCAAATACATGACTAAAATTGAAGTATTTATTTAAAATCAACATTTCATTTGTATTTCTAACAGGTGTAAACATCTTTTTGTTCATTTCTACAAAGAATGATGTAGCGATATAGAAGCAAGTGTGTGATCTATGTAAATGTAATGCTACTTGTAAAATAAAATAAAATAAAATAAATAATAATAAAAAAAGACATTACTCACCAGTATTACTAAGGCTATGTTCAGACTGCAGGGCTCAATTCAGATTTTTTTGTGAAATCTGATGTTTTTGCGAGGTCATTCACATTTCAGTGACACCGAAACCATCCTGTTGAGATTCAGAAAGGCCAGAATAATTCTAACTGGAACTGAGGCTGAGTCTGATGACAGCTACTGTCAGCTTCTCCTGGAGGCAGCCTGAACAGAGGATCTTAAGAAAGAGGCTTTGAGAGTTAGAACAGTTCTCAGACATGTCTCTTTATTGGTTCAGGCAAATACAGGTCTCAAGATTCAAGTTGATTCAGCATGATTTTGCCTACGCGGCGTCTCTGTGCGTCGGTCGTCCCTCGACAACGCGGTCAACGTTCCCCCACTGATGCACAGAAAAACTGGATGCCTTTTATACCAGCATAACTGTTGAGTTAACATCTTCATGGAAACATACACAGCAGTTTTGTCCCAACACGTGTCCCATAACTGGCATCTGCTAAAGGTTGGAGACACACCCCTTATCTGTCCCATATACATTCACCGTCCATATGACATCATATCCCAACCCCACTGACACTCCAAAGTCCAAAAACATACAAAGCATGTACACAGGGATTACAGGGTGAATTAACATATGAATGAAACTTTAAAAACACAGGGTAGAAGCCCACACTACACAGAAGAGGAAGCGGTGCTCCGTTTACCTCTGGAGGTCGCAGAGTGAAGTGACACCAAGGATGAAGAATTGAATGGATTTAGTGATTTAGAATGAGATGGAGAGTTTGGTAATGTTACATTAACAACCTGTTGTTCTCTGTTCTATTGTTATTATTATAACTTGACATTCAAGATGAAATGTTGGTTCCTGGTCTCTGATTTTATAAAATAAATTTCCCCCAAAAAGTGTGACTTATAGTCCGATGCAACTTATATATGTTTTTTCTTCTTCGTTTCCTTTTTTGGCTGGTACGACTTATACTCCGGAGCGGAGTATAAGTCGTGTATACAGTATACATTTTCAGTCTGGAACAATGGGAATGAATTCATATAAAACATTATGTCCATGCACAGAAACTGTAAATTTGGACAAAGACAGTACAATATATACTCAAAGAAAAAAAGTTTATTCAAATGTATTAATCACAAAATATAAAAGTATAAATGTCATCTCAGTATTTCATCTAAACTTAGCGCCATTTTATATTACAGTTTTTTTCTATGGTCTTAATGTTGTAAATTAACCCTGTAATATTTGAACAAAAATGCATACAAAGAATTAAAAAAATATACAATGGGTTAGTAATAATAATTAAAAAACAAACAAACAATAGAATCATAATACCGTGTTAAAATTGTGTCAAAAATGAGTAAAAAAATGTATAAATTCTAAACAAAAGTAGCAAAAAGTGTTCATAGATGTTTTCATATTGCTTTCAGATGACATCACAACAGCCAACATTCTTAAAGTATTTAACTGAGTACTGTTCATTTGACAATACTGGGATAATGCACATATTTTGAACAGTTTTACATTTCCTTTTAGATTCTTACAATAACCAAAAAGGAATTCTCTTCTCTTGTCTCCATTTGAACATCAGAATATTCAAAAAACGATAAAGGAAACATTTCAGTCTCCACTTTGGAAATCTCCTTGGACGACTGCGATATGAAAGCCTCTTGAATGATATGGTGGAACATTTCAGGCAAAGTAATAACATCTCCATAAAGACAAGCAGGTGGTTGACCCTCACCATGAAAGTTACATAGTGCATCTTTAAGTATTATCCATATTGAGTCTATTAAAGAGTTCATCATCAGCCAGTCATCAAAACAGTATTTCATATTTTTGTGTTTTTTTTCATCCAATAAAGTACATTTCTTTTGGCGAAACTATACATTTTTAAAAGTGTGGTTGTCAAAAGCTTTGCAAAGTTAACAGTTCTGGAACGAAATTGGTTGAAATCATCGTCTTATTTTCGTTTTTTGTGTTGACATTTTGATTTGGAATTGAAAACTGGTCATAATCAGTCTCTACTTTGGAAATCTCGTTGGCGACGTTGCGTGACTAAACCTGGGCAGTCTGCACACGCCGCAGGGACAAAGGCTCCCCCCTGAGCTCCCCCACTGTCCCGGGACAACCATGGCCTCTACCTGACCAGATGGGGGCGCCACCACTGGACATTTCCCATTGGACGAAGCGATGCTGGACGACTGCGCGATGAAAGCCTCTTGAGTTAGCAGAATTTGCGCCGGATTGGACACCACGGGCCAGCAGCCACCTGTCAGCAACAACCTGGGTATGGGAGCCGAAGTCACGCCAACGGTACTAACCTCTCCTAACAAACGCCGCATCTCTTGTAATGAAGATCCCAAAAGCAAGATGTAATTTCTCGCCAGAACTAAAGTCGAAATTTTGGACAATCTTCTCCCGGGCGTTTGAGAAGTTGGGTTCGTCGCGTAGGGTACCATGACCTCTCGTAAAGCGTCCATGGCAACGTTCAGGTCCTGCATTCGTTTTCGCTCGCGGCTGTTGATTTTGCGTCGCAGCTCGAGTTGCTCCTGAGGGTTGAGGTCCCTGTGGGGTTTCGGGGGGCGGTGGAGTCCGACCATGGGCGGGTGGTGCAGGCGGGGGTCCAGGGAGAAGCCGGGGGGGCAGTGAGGCATGCTGGGTAAGTCTCGAGGGGGGAGAGGGTGGCCCGGGTGGGGGTTCATGGTCCAAAAGTGACGTAGAGGTCGTCTATATGAGAGGAGGGGATTGGAATTTGATTGAAAACGTTCAAATATATTAATAATGTATGCTTAAGACAACAAATTTACTCAAAATTTTCAATTCAGAGTTTTCCCATTTGAGTTGTTTACATTTTAAAATCTGAGATCAATTGCAAAAGTCGTACATTCAGTGAAATTCACTGAAGGATTGTCCAGTGAATCAAAAAATTTTCTGACAAGTTGAAAAAGGAGAGGCTTCAAACATAAAAATCCTTCCAAATTTACTTCAAATCATCAAATTTATTACTTGATATTTCCATTTACAAAAATTCTATGTGAAGATAAGGTTGAAATTTCAAAGTAGAACTATCAAATGAATAAAAAATGTTTCTGAAAAGATGAAAAAATTAAAGTCTTCAATACAAAAATCTTCCTTATCAAGACTCAAAAATGAATCACAGTTTGTCATGGAATTTTCTGCATTTTCAAGTTTTTCCCATGTGAGTTTTTTACATTTTAAAAGCAAAGTTTTGCAAAAATGTGATTTCATCTATACATCATTTACCTCTATGCCAAAAAGCCAGTATGAAGAGAATGCTGAAGTCCTTTGAAAGTCCATGTGGAACTATGAAACATTTCGGAAACGTTTTGCAAAAGGAAAACCAAAAATGCAAAAAGGTGAATTGAAAAAATGTTAAAAGAAAATGTAAACAAGAATCCAAGAAATTTCTCATAAATATTTGCAAAAATGGTTCATATTTTCCTCTGTCAATAATATCCATTCAGATGAGTTCAGAGAGAGAGAGCCTGAGCTGGTGACTCCTGGTTTTATCTCATGTCAAGGCTCAGAAAAGTGAAATCTGACTCAAAGCGTCTCCTGAAGTGGCTCCAACATCTCAGCTCCTCCCATCAGCTACACACAACAGTTAAAGGTCCTAGTATATTACGCAAAATGCACTCTTGTGAGCTCTAAGCCATGTTAAAAAGTTGTTACCTCGTCCAAAACAGACCTGGACTTGTGTTTTGTTTCATTCCCACATGTTTGAGTAACGCTGCATATTTAGTCTACATCTCCAAAGCTCAAAATGCTCTGTTCCACCTTGTTCACAGCCATCTGCCTTTTAACATTAGTTCAGAAGAGATTGGAAATTCTTGGGCTGAAATGATCCATGTTTATTTATTTTATTTTATTGAAATGCTACACCCCCTTAAGATGTTCTCAAATTCTTTTGTGCCCTTTGCTATTAAATTGCTAAATTCTAAAGGTACAGTTTTCTGAATGTTGTGCACTGTAATTTGTAGATTATTACTGAGTTCCACTGGTGGACTGTAATGGACTGACACACTGTGTGTTTGTGTTTGTGTGTGAGAAGTAAAAAGTGAGAACTGCTCTGAGATGCTGCTAATGAATTGCTCTATGGGATCAATAAAGTTTTCTGAATCTGAATCAAAAACACAAAACATTACTAACACATAAATACAATACAATACAATACAATACAATAGACAGAATACAAAACTTACATTACAAAACATACACACACACAAACACACATATCAAAACACAAATACAGACAGACCACATGATTCTAGTGAAGATGTGGAGTTTAACCCATCTTTCACATACAAATGACAAATTCGCCTCGGAAAACCGGCTAGAATGAAAATTCTGGAAAACTACAGTTGTGCGTTTGCATGTAAAGTGAGATAAATGGAGTTCTAGGGGCAGCTAATGCGCTGAAAGTGTGACCAGTGTTTACCTTTTGCTCTGATGATGATGATGGAGCATTCAGAGCAGCAGTTGCATTTCTTCTGGTGAAACAATTTTCATGTGTTTACATTTGCACACACAGATGATGTATCATATCCATGACCAGAGACGAATGAGGCTCAGAGGTCAGTGATTCTGTCACTTCTTTAACAGATCTGTGGGGAGGCGAGCCCGCTCAGTGATGCACGTATTTCAAGGTATTTTTGAGTAATACTTACAACTGTAATGAAATAAACGCTACAGGTTTGAATCTAATCCAGGTGCCACCATCTATGGTGTATTTATGCAGGTTGATGTAAAGAAAACTTTTTTGAAAATGACGCTATGTTCACGATGTTATTTTGGAAAACAGAGAGGGAAATATTTGTTTCTCAATATACTCGACTATGTGTAAATGTAGCCTAAAACACAGTGGATCAGGTAAAGCAACAACATTTCCACAGACAAACAGGTAGCAAATCCCCACCAGGAAAGTTACATAGTGCAGCTTTAATCTAATCTAATAACAGTTTATGTTTTAAGGACCCATATCACACTATTTTCTGATCTATATTATAATGTTTCCTCAGCAGTGCATCTTTAAGTATTATCCATAAAGTCTATTAAAGATTTCATCAGTCATCAAAACAATATATATTATTTTGTATTTTTCATCCATTAAAACACATTTTTAATACTTAAACTACTACTACAAAGCTATCTACCCTACATTTTTAAAATCATGGTTGTCAAAAGCTTTGCAAAGTTTTCAGTTCAGGAGCAAAATTGGTTGAAATCATAATTGAGTCTTCACATTTTAATTTGGAATTGAAAATAGTTCATAATTACTCACATAATTAAAACAATGAATTTTTTGCCAACATTTCTTCAGTAAGCATTTTTTTTTCAGCTTCACATTCATGCAATTTTTACCATGGCAACATTTAACTAACATCTATTTACAAGGCTTCGACAATTTAATTCCATTTTCAACAACAACAACCATTAAACAGCCGTGAAGCTTTTAACTCCCGCTCCTTTTGTGTTCCCATCAGGTATTAGCCGCATTAGCTTCGGCGTTAATCGTGTCAGAAAACAGTTTTGGCAGCCCCTGAATAGAACCTGCTGTGTAAATGGCTGGATTCGAGGTGGCTGTTCATTTATCGCCCACGAGTCACGGGCACAGCTCCAGCCTGGCACCACAACGCGCCCATTCAAGCCCCCAGCCACAGGTGAAGCTGCTGGGGCACTGCCAACCTCAGACCTCCCCATTGAGAGGGCATTGTGGAGGTAGGGAGGCAGGAAGGATGGCACTTGAGCCCACAGAAAGCACCTTGTTTCGGGGTGCGTGGACGAGGTAGAGGAGGGTGTCCGGGTGGGTTTGGTGTGAATGGGGAGGAAGGCAGACGGACCAGGCACCTGCAGAGAAACAGAGTGAATGAATGAGAGGGGCATTGATGGTGCAGAGGTTAGGGTCAGGTCATCATAGTAGTCTCATCGCACTTTAAAGGATGTGGCTGTCTTACGTGTTAGTCAAACCACAAACCATAGTATAGTTTGGACTTTGCTAAAAAAAAAAAAAAAAAAAAAGCCTTGGAGAAGACAAACTTTTTCAGATATTAAGACTAAGGATGTAACAATAACCAAAATATCATGATATCTTATCATCAAAAGTCTCAGAATAATATCGTGGGCTGTCACAATATATTAAATCTCAAGTTCCTTTGTTTAAATACATTGTTTTATAGTAGCAACAGCTTATGAACATCGGAAACTACATATCCCATGATTCATTTCAGTGCAGACAACATGAAGAAATATGCTTTTTACTTGACTTCTTGGGATTATGATGGAAATAATTCACACCAAAATCTTGTCAAGGTATTTTAAAAGTAAAAAAAGTGCCCTATCTACAATTACATAAGCCTTTTCAAAAAAAAAAAAAACATACAGTGAGATGCATATTGTGATCATACCGAGAGATTTAGATATCGTTACATCCCTACTTAAGACACATTTTAAAGACCTAATGCGCCTGTGTCTGCTGTATGGATCATTATGTTGGACATTTTAAATATTCATCTAAAACAAATCGAAAAAGGAATGAGTCCACTGAAAACTGTGGATCCCAGTGGGCGCTGACTTTGTCATAAACATCATTACAGTAAAGAGCTGCGATGTTGTCGGCACCTCCGTTGTTTAGCTGCATATCCCACTGGCTGGTTTTGCTTTGTGTTTTTACTATGAAAAGTGGCATGTGGCATTGTTGGGACCTATTGTACATGTATAATGCAGAGACAAGTTTTCTGAGAAATCACATGAAGTACAGAACTGTTGGTAGAGACAAGGGGTCAGTGAAAACAGGAATTTTCTGAGCATTCAAGTCTTCAGTGCAGGACTAGCGAGGCTGGCAAAACCTAGTGCCTCCGCTCAGTTTCATTTCTCTCCAGCGACAAGGTCAGGAATCGGAATACACTAGACGGTCAAAAGTTGTAATGACCATTTTATTAAATTACTTTTTGGCAAATAATAACACGTCTGCATCTTGTATTTTGTTGATTTTTGCAATAAAAAAATTATATTTACATGAAGTATTTCTATTTCTATTTAATTATATGACATATTTACATTTGCCGCAGAATTTTCATCACCTGAAGAGCTTGAGATCAAACAGTGCAGAGTTCTGTAGTGCAGCTAAGTACAAAAAGTTGATAGAGGGTACAGAATTTTCAAAGAACAGTGGATGACTGATGACTGATTAAACCGTGCAGTTTGTCTGATATGTAAAGAAAATATGGTGGTTTTAAAAGAATATATTCTGCGCCGTCAGGGTCATACAATTCTGTTATACAGTCGACCCGACTCTGGCCCCCATTTCAGTCAGGAGCGATAATGTGGCTCCCAGAGAAAAAAATGTGGTGACCCCAGATTTTGCATCTGTCCAAATCTCTCCAGTGGAGCTTTGCTTTTTATATTGTGAAGTTTAAGTTTCAATTTGGCCCTGCAAGTGTCATTAGGTAGTTTGTTTATTTGAACTGCCAACTCTAAACTGTGAAAATGTATAAATAAAGAGACTTCCATTTCCCCTGTCAGACAGATGATGCTATACCCACTGAGTCATGTCCATTGAGGATACAGGAGGCATCTTGTTCTGTGGAGCAGTAGCTCTACTCTGAGCTTCTTGTGATTGACTAAACTCTTCACTCTGTCTCTGCACTGCTGTTTTGCTGAGGAAATTCTTTGGGCAACTTAA